ACCTTTATGATTTTATGTACTCTTAGAGGCTTGTAGACAAATGTCAGGTGTATGGATACTTGTATGGCCTTGTCGGCTTATGTTTTGAGTTTACAAATGGTCATGTCGGCCTTATAGGCCCGTATGTCACATATATAAGTTTGTATATCATGTTGGGTCTTCATATGTTGAGTATTCCCTTATGTTATATTCTTGTTATCTTATGATGGGTTTTCTGGCTCATTTACTCATGATAGTATGATAAGAAAGATATGTTACGTTGGTACTCGGTTGAGTAAGGCACCGGGTGCCCGTCGCGGCCCTTTGGTTTGGGTCGTGACAATAAGACCCCGAGCGGGCAGACTCGGTCTAGTAAGACCTACTTAAGGCATGAATCATACTTGTACCAAGTATCAACAAAAACTGTAAGACCTCAACGGCATGAAAAAACTGTAAGACCTCAACGACATGAAAAATCTGTAAGACCTCAACGACATGAAAAAACTGTAAGACCTCAATGACATGAAAAACCTGTAAGACCTCAACGACATGAAAAACCTGTAAGACCTCGACGACATGAAAATTTTGTAAGACCTTACTACAGACATATACTCGATCCTAAATTTTAGGCTATATATCAAATTTGTAAGACCCTTAAAAAGGCATACCCTCGATATAGACGCCCAAACTACTACACTCAGGACCAAAAATGGCTCCGACCAAACACAAATGACTATGGTCATACGGCTGTACCCGCCGAATTAATGCGATTCGGGGACGCCCGACCGTCGCTACAAAATCATAGGCCATTACTTCAAATTTACTTCGAAAAGAACCGGTTAAATAGGCTACCCTCGACAGGCAAAAGTGCTTCGACCATGTCAGCTCCAAATCACAAGGTGCTCAGCCTACGAGCCAAACCTTCCAAGGTGCTCGAACGTCGCCGCAAACGACTTGAAATTGAGGTTCTTTCCGAACCGACGACGGGTCAGGCAAAACCATTTCAAAAAGTCCTTAACGAGAGGAAAACAAAGCCTACATATGCCTAAGGGCAAAGCGTAAGAGCCATTGTCGCCAGCCTAACGAGCCTCAGGGCCGCACACTAAAAGGTTGCATCGACTGAAAGCGTAAGAGCCACCGCCGCTAGTTAAAATTTTTAAAACTTGAGGGTCAAAATGAGCTCGAGTCGTAACCAGATTCGGAGACCGGACCCAAAATAGTTAACTATATATGCCTAAGGGCGAAGCGTAAGATCCATTGTCACCAGCTTACATTAAAAGGTCGTCTCGACCCAAAGCGTAAGAGCCATTATTGCCAGCGTACATTAAAAGGTCTTTTTGACCCAAGGTGTAAGAGCCATTGTTGCCAGCCCACACAAATGCAAAACTTGAGGGTCGATTGAGCTCGAGCCGAAACCCGACTCGGAGACTGAACCCAAAATAGTTGAAATACAAATGCCCAAGGGCAAAGCGTAAGAGCCACTGTCTATTATACCCCGTAAATTTCACAACATTGATATATATATATATATATATATATATTATATATATTTGAGAGGAACATTTTTGTTAAGAAAAAAAAATGGTCTGAAAAAATAATAATACAATTTTATATAGTTATTAACATTACTACTTTCGAATATGTTTTAAATTACACAAATAATACGAGAAAATTTTATCAGATTTTCTTTATTGTAAAGATATGAATTATTATGTTTCACAAGAAAAGGTCATCCTTTTTTTTTATACCATTTTAAGAATTAAGTGTACGAAAATTTATACTCTTTAAATGAGATTAGAAAAATTTGAAGTTAAAAAAACATATATATTTTTACATTGATATTTTAATGAAATAATAGTGTATATATTCATTTTATATGGTACCGCATGACCATGATAGTAAGCTATATAAAATATGTTAAAAATAAGTAATATTTTAAGTAAATTGAGATAATTCTTAATTATATAGTTAATTATTACGAATGGATAACAATCAACGTGGCAGCCTTGCATTAGGGTGTGATGACTCTTAGAGTCGCATACAAGGTGGCAAATTTGGAGAAGTCTGTCAAGAAAGCTAGTAACATGTGTTATTTTCAGCATCTGAGAATGCCACAAGAGTGTCAACTGTTTTCCAAGGCTTGTTTTAATTTGTCTAAGAAGATGAATCTGCATGGGACCTTAGATGAGCGCTACAGAAGGTTTTTGCTTTCAACCGAGAAATTCTTTTTAACTATATCGTTACTAAAGGTTTTCCAATTTTGCTTCCATCTTTATTTAATTTTGCTCCCCATAGCATTCTGAATCACTACTACATTATGCATTTGTAGCTACGAAATTTTAGCTATGAATTTAAAAATCGTGGCTAATGCCTAGCAATAGCCACAAAAATTAAAATTCTATGGCTATTTCCAAAATTGTAAAATATCTTAGCTACGAACACTAAATTGGCAAAGCTAATTTATCGTGGCAATAACAATCTAAATAGCTACAAATTTATTGCTGCAGTAGAATTTCGCAGCTAATCATAAGTTTTTGCAAATGCGTCAAAAGTTACCGTAGCAATAGTAACCTTTTAGCTACAATAAATTATTTGAAACGATATGTTGTAGCTAAATGAATATTTTTCCTTCAAGTTAAAAAAAGTTGTGGCAGTAGTTAAATGATATAACCACATATTTATTGCTATGGCAGAATTTTGTAGCTAGTCATTAGTTTTTTGCCACGAAATAAAAGTTATTATAGCAATAGTAACGTTTTAGCTATAACATATTATTTAAAATAAAATATTGTAGCTAAATAAATATTTATTGCCTAAAATTATAAAGAGTTGTGGCAGTATAAGTTAAATTAGCCACGGATTTATTCCTAATATGGAATTTCGTAGCTAGTTATTAGTTTTATTCCTCGAGATAAAATTTACTGTAGCAATAATAACTTTTTAGTCATAATAAATTATTTAAAATAAAATATTACTAAATAATTCTTTTGCTTCAAGTTCTAAAAAGGTGTGATAATAGTTGGTTTAATAACTACAATTATTTGTCATGATGAAATGATATAACCACATATTTATTGCTACACAGAAATTTTATAGCTAATCATTAGTTCTTTTCATGACGTGAGACTTGCCATCAATGTTTTAAAAGGTGCGGGCGTGAGTCGATGCATTTTATCTCTCACGAGGCGAGGCGTAATGAGTTACACATATTTTCAAATTTTACTAATTTCAAAAATTTTAAGATAGATCAAATAAAACATAATTATAAAAATTATATTAAAATTAGAAATTATAACAAATAATCTACTTAAAATATTTATAAATTTATAATTCAATTATGAATAATGCGAAAAGTATGACATATATCGTAATATGCAAATTAACTGCAATGTCGTTATAACTCAAACATCAAAAGTAATGTATTCAATACGAAATCTTATATGTATCTCTTAAGGAGTAATGAATCTTGAAATAATTTCGATATTATAATTGATATTTTTTTAAATACTCTTTTTATTTAATATGCTTTCTATTTGAAAGAGAATTTATATAAAAACATAATTCACAATTTAAATATGATTCTCTAGCATCATTTATTTTTAAGTTTCAACAAGTTAATAAAGTGACACATAATTCACCATACTATACTATGGGAACTAATTATTTGTAAACAGAATTACTAGCTAATACTGAGCTATTAAATTAATTAGTATCAAATGATATATTCAATTAATTAAAATTTCTAAAAATATAATACAAAATTAATAAAGTGGAAGGTGTGAAAAATGGTAGAATAAGTAGATTATTTTTGGTTCCTGAAAGATGAGTTGGGAACATATAGAATGTACTAAAGTTTTATCTATAATAAAATACAATTAGTAGATTGTTTTTGGCTATTATAAAATTATAAATATAAAATATTGAGTAAGGCTTATTGATATATGGAGACGTTGAGATGGATGTTGTTGTAAGTACAAATAATTTTTTTTTATAAAAGGGTATAATATAACATTAAAAATCATTTTCAAAAAAACTCGCATATTGATGTATAAGATAATCGTTATATAGAGGTCTAACTGTATATTATAATGTATAATATTGTATAAATATTACTTGTGATTTCCAATTATTACTTTAACTACTACATATTTATATCTTATTATGTTGATAAGTTATATTTTTAATTTCATAATGATACAATTAGATGTAATAAATTGAAATAACAATATAGCTAATATTAAGATAATTCTTAATTACCTAGTTTCTTTTTACTATTTTTTAGGAGGGTAATCATGAATTTAGAATAAATTTTCCCTCCAAACTTTCCCCCTCTAAATTTTTTGGCAAAAATCAAAGCCTTAATTTAGAGAGATTAGAGGAGAAAGAAAACCCTTCCACCACATATCAGAAGAGAGCCAAAAATCGATTAAGGCACTGTCTCTTTAGCTGCTTCCGCCGCGTCATCAAATGCCATCTTCGCCAATTTAAGTACCCAATATACAGTTCATACCAACAAGGTGTATGAAATCTATACCGCTGCGATCTAAGTTCCTCGTCGCCCAAAACCTAACTGCTCAAAGGTAAGGAACTCTTCAAAATTTTCATCTTCTGGGTAGGTATTATGCATTTTGATTCTCACATACATGGTGGATTATTTGATAGTGAATTGGTCTAGGAGTTATTGTGGATTTCCATTATTTTTTATTTTTCTGTAAAAAGTTGTAGATTACTTCAAATACTCTACAATTTAGCATTTCTATCTCGATTTAGACATTGTTTTGATGATATAATAGTTGGTAATTCCTGGAATTTCTATTCACTTTAGTTTCCGTTTTCTCTTTTATTTTTGTGCTCTTTGTGTAATGGGTATTCTGCAATTTTGTCTCATTTCTTACACTGATTTATTTTTCTGATTTGTTAGTATAATAATTAGACGATGTTGGAGTTTTGGTCACTTTTGCTTTAATTTTATTGCTGGTGGATTATATGCAAAATAAAGGAAACTCTGGATCAAGAAATATTGTGAAAACTAGTTCCCAAAATTTTCTTGAGAAGCCAATGAATCAAATGAAATTAGAACAAGGAAACTAGAATAAGCATAATGAATTTTTGGAGTATGTTTGATGGAATCAATGTTGGCTAATAAGAAATTGACAGTCACAGCTCATGTATTGCTCTTTATGATCCAAAAAGAGTATAATAAGTACGTCATGTAGGAGGTTGATCTTGTATAGATTATTTTTCAACTATGACTAATAAGGATTATTCAATCAAATTTTGAAAGGTTGAATAATGCTCTTAAGAAAAGATTAAATCAGCCTCTAATAAGAATTTAAAAGTAAGAAGTTAACTTGGACTTTCATAAATTTTTTGGTAGTAGTTTACAAATACACAAAGATATGCTTTTCTTTAATACCATTCTTATCAGTTGCTCTTTGTCCTCTAAGATTATTGTCGCTCCATCTTATAAGATTGTTGTCCCTGTTGCATTTACTATTCTCATTCTCTTCTTTTTTCAATTAAGTGTATTCATATTTTCTTCTTGTGAATAGTATTGTTCAGGATAGCTGGGTTGACTTAAACTGTACACTAATCTGGAAACACAATTAGGTCTAGATTTAATGTGCTGTATCGTTTCACTTCTGAATTTTAACCTCTAGAATCTATCTAACAAAATTAAGTTCTTTACAGTTGGACAAAGTTACTTCTATCCGTGCTGAATTGAAGTGGCTCATTATTATTGCCAAATTATGATGACAAATACAAAGGTCTTGCTGCTACGTACGATATCGAGTAAGTATTGTTAAACTTTATCACTAAGTGGTATATGCCAATGTTAGTTAATAATGTTGCTATTTCCGTTGTTTAAATCAAAGTTGCAGGAACTAGCTAGTAAGAAGAGCAAGTACCTATTATCCAGAGCTACGACCAATAGAGCATCCTCTCTTGAAGGCTAATTAGCTTACTGATTGCTATATTATTCTTTAAATTGATTACAGTCTCACCCTAAATATCAGGAGAAAACAAAGTATTCTTGTCCCTTGCTACAAACGAATAAGAAGTAATCTTTGGTCCTACTTTAGGAAGCGTCGGATCAATCAAGGATCTTCTGATATTTAGACACACAAGAGCCCTAAGCAGTGTGTTTTTGAAAAATTTGGTTTGGTTCAAAGTCTTGGCTCTTATTGTCACACTTTAAAGCAGATATCAACTATACTGTACGATCCACTCTCCTGGTTCATTAAGTCCTTAGAAATGCTAAATGAATCATATCTTGCATTGACAAATAGCTGAAAGATTTACAATAAGAAGTGTAAATGTAAAGTTATGTGAGAGGGATGTCTACAAGTTCTAAAGTTTCAGTGTTGTCCCAAAATTCATGCTGACAGTATAATTTTTAATATATAGTACATTCAAATTATCAGATGATTATGTTGACTTTTCATATAGTTTTTTAGGTTCTTAAGTTGAAGAATCAAGAAAGAAATGGATTGTAAGCTAGCAAAGTTGGATATATGATGAGAATAAATTTAGAAGGATATCTGCTGTTCATCCAACTCTAACTAACTTTCTACCCCTAGCGTAGGAGTAAGGTATACATACACACTATCTTCCCCAGACTCCACTTGTGGGATTACACTGGGTTTTTGTTATTGTTGTTGTTGTTGTTGTATAAAATCAATTCTAGAAAATATGTGATTTCTTTAAGAAAATTTCATATGACAAGTAAACTTTAGCTGTTTCATGTGGACATAATTCGACCATTTTCTTAACTTTTTTTTTATAATTGCTATTGCAGCTTATGGAGGAGCACAGAAAGCATCCAGATCGATTGGGACATGAGTGACTATTTTTTTCTCTTGTAAAAGTATATTGATATGTTTGACTAGAGCAACCTTTTAATATTTTAATTTATTTTGAATGATATTGTTGAACCTTTAGTTATGTTTTCTTGCTAATGTATTGCATTTCTTAAAATAAACTAAAATTCTCTACATATTTTATATTGCATTTATTAAAACAATTGAAGATATTTTGCTGTAGTTCTCTACATATAAAAAGCATTGATTCTTAGCTACAATATATAAATTTGTGTGGCTATCAATGTTTGTGGCAAATTCTTTAATTTGTAGCTATGAAATTTTTAAATTTGTAACTAAACATATATAACGTTGCCACCAAAAAGAATATGGTTATACATTTTCACTTTTTATAAAAAATAAAGAAAATCTTTTGCTACAATTCTATATATCTCATGGAAAAAAACGTTAAATCTTAGCTACCAAAAAATGTTTGTGGCAAAAACTTCAGCTCATATTTACAGACTTTTGAATTTGTAGCTAAACAAACCCACTATTGCCACGAAATTAAACCATACAAGTAGCCACAAAATCTGAATTTGCGTGGCAAAGAAGTTATATCTTTTGCTATGAGTATATTTTTTCGTGGCAAAAGACTTTTATCATTATAGCTACAACATCAAAAATATTATAGCAATAAGTATTAGTCCTTAGCCACGGATCATATAAAGTCCGAAGTTAACTTTTAGCTACGCTACATTTTGCTACGAATGCTACGATTTTTTTTTTGTTTCATATTTAGCTACGATGTATTTCGTAGCTGTATATGCATAATCTTGTAGATATATGGTATTTTGAGTGGAACATTTTTCTAAAGAAAAAAATGGCCTGTAAAAATAATAATACAATTTTATATAGTTATTAACATTACTACTTTCGAATATGTTTTAAATTACACAAATAACATGAGAAAATTTTATCAGATTTTCTTTATTGTAAAGATGAATTATTATGTTTCACAAGAAAAGAAGGTTATCATTTTTTTTTACCATTTTAAGAATTAACTGTACGAAAATTTGTACTCTTTAAATGAGATTATAAAAATTTGAAGTTGAATATATATATATATTTTACATGGATATTTTAATGAAATAATAGTGTATGTATTCATTTTATATGGTACCGCATAACCATGATAGTAAGCTATATAAAGTATGTTAAAAGTAAATAGTATTTTAAGTAAGTTGAGATAATTCTTAATTATGTGGTTAATTATTACAAATGGATAACAATCAACGTGGCAGCCTTGCATTAGGGTGTGATGACTCTTAGAGTCGCATACAAGGTGGCAAATTTGGAGAAGTTTGTCAAGAAAGCTAGTAAACAGGTGTTATTTTCAGCATCGGAGAATGCCACAAGAGTGTCAACTGTTGTCCAAAGCTTGTTTTAATTTGTCTATGAAGATGAATCTGCATGGAACCTTAGATGAGCGCTACAGAAGGTTTTTGCTTTCAACCGAGATATTCTTTTTAACTATATCGTTACTAAAGGTTTTCCTATTTTGCTTCCATCTTTTTTTAATTTTGCTCCCCATAGCATTCTGAACGCCTCCAAATCAGGTTATCCATTCCGTTCCAAAAATAAATTAGGGAAGCAATTCATCCTTTTACCATAAGCGAAATAATTAGTCATCCTCATATTTTGTTTAACGCCAAACAATCTTAAGTAAATTGTACAACCGCTTATGCTTCCATAGTAAAAACAGTGACAATTTTATCTCACAACAAAAATGTTGTACAAAAAGGAATGAACACTCTGTACATGTCTTTTTCTATATAGTTGTAGTTATTCTTACATCATTTTGATATGTCAGTTTTCTGTATCTACTCCTAATTATGGAATTTAACAGCCTTCACATCATGGAATTGTGTTGTTCCCTTCCCTCTAAGCCTAGCAAAGTAGTAGTTCTATTTCTCATCTTACATCTATATTACTAATACAATAATTGAGATATGGTAATGTTTTAGTTGCATATATGTCGCAATGAACGTGTGTTAGAGGGATTGTCAAGAGAATCGGTTCAAGTATATTAAGGCTATCCCTTCTTTCCTTTTGGCATAATCTATATGACACGAACGAAACGAGCAAATGCACAACTTCCATTATTAACAGATTAGCACCGAAATACTTGTCATTAAGGCATACTTGATTTCTCCCTTTATTTTTTTTAAGATATTGGGTTATTTGGTGTGATTTTTCAAGTATGAAATGCTAAGAATTAAATTACAAAATCTATAAATTGTAGGTAGCCATCTGCAGGAAGATGATTTCTTTCTATACAGATACTAGGTTATACAAAATGTCTGTCGTTACATTGTGAAACTAATTCATTCCTTCTCTAGAGTGTAGACTTCACTGGTTTCCACTAGTTCTTGTTGGTACTCTTTCTGGTCTGTTATGCGCATGTTGTAACTGGTAGTCTTGAAGATTTATCAAGTGTTTCCACTATGATTGATATTATCTTAAGATCACAAAAGTTAGAAATGAGAAAATATTATTTCAGAAGCATCTTCATTCAGTATCACTATCTTTTTGTTTTGTTCTGCTCTTTTGTTAGTGGAATCACCATACTAAATCCTTTTTACACTTGTAGTTAGTGACTGCAGATTTTCTAACAATCACATAATATTCTTCCTGCACTGGCTGCTGGCAAATGAACTGGCAAATTTCTGTGCAAGCACTACACAGTATTCTACTTTGTCAAGCAAAGTGAACCACATTAGAGCTTGACTTTAAACTCCAGCGTTCTGTTTTTGGCTGAAAATGATATGATGGTTGAGGATAACTACGAATTTCTTCTGTCCTCCAAACGCTAACAATGAAGTTTTTGTGTCTGCTCTGCCCTAGTGACTTATTTTTTTTGCTCACCTCTTTTCTCCTATCTATCTATATTTGGGTACAATGTGAGATAACATTTAATTGACATTTTATATTGGATAGTCTTTTTCTCTTTTTCTTTTATATTCAACAGTTGTGTGCGTAAATTTTGTCAAAATTCATATGTGTCATATTATTTCATGATATTAGCCAAAGGCATAATGGTCTTATGACGTACTGAGAAATTTTATTAACGTATTTCATATGCATTTCATGCATTTAAACATGCACATTTACTGTGAGCACGTGATTTTTGTTTCGCACGGCAATCGCTCCAAAAAGAAATAAAAAATAATAATTGGCCCTGCTGTACAATTTTGGATTTCTGTGCGGCACCTTGTTGATTTATTTGTGACTTCAGCCCATTTTTATTTATTTACTTTATTAAAATAAAATTCAAAAAAATATATGTGTCCTGCATAATTCAAACCGTAATCCGGTCGTTAAATAGAAAATCATGAATAGGCATTTTCGTCCGTGATTTTATTTGGTTTGACTGTACCTGTTTTGAAATATTTTAGTGTGTGTGCAAAAAATTGTATTGAGTGTGTATTTAATTTTAATTTGATTTTTGGCTTAGTTTTGTTTTAAAATAAATAAGAAAAAGGAAATAAATAAAATAATAAAAAAAAAGAAGAAAAAAGAAAGGGTCCCTTTATTCTTCCGGACTTGGGCCAATTTTAACAAAATTGGCCCAAACAAACAGCCCAAGACCCAGGCCTGCCCGGTCCAGGCCACCTGATGCCCAGGACGTCCAAACGACGACGTTTTGGTCCAGTGTGATCTGGGCCGTTGATCTCAGAGTGATCAACGGCCAAGATCAATTTCCCATAACCCATCAATAAACCCGACCCATCTTACCCGGACCGACCCCAACCTNTTGAACATTTGCCTGAATCAATTAAGAACCAAGCCCTGTTACTTATAGTCGTGAATATGGTTTCAGAAACCTAAGGTTTGGTCTGTAACCGAAATCTGAGTTGGTGGCATGTGCACTTGTGCACAGCATGTGCATTGTGCACAGCCTGTTTTCCTGCATAAAAGGGTTTTCAATTTCAAAATGGGTTGACAGCATATGCTGTCAGATATATTCTACTGCCCATACTTGCTTTTAGATAATAAAATGAAAAAGTTGAATCTGCCAGGGAATGTGAATGGGTTTTAATACTTAATTAACTAAAGTGGAACTGAAAAAAGGTTAAAGGCACATGGGAGGGTACT